ATGCCTCAAAATTTCTAGGTCCAAAGGTCAACTCAACATTTGGAGCACTATATCACAGGGCCATCCACTTAGCCCTAACTAAATGAATTAAGACCCCTGGAGTCCTGGACCCACAATAGTTATCCAGCCACTTGTCCATCTGTTCCCCTCCCAAATTTTCAACTCTTCTTTCATCCACGTGATTACTAATAGTATCACATGTTGGGCCAAGCAAGACAGGTCCAACCAGCTGAAATTGGCCTACCTTCTCAATAGACACCTGTTAACCTACTCGTTCTCCCATTTCAATCCTTCTTCTCTTGAGAAACCCATCATTAATTACATTTTTGAACTATGATCAATTGTTTTGTCAAGCATCATCACTTTAACTCCCAACAACTCTTGATTATCTCCTTTTTCCTGAATTTCTTCCCAACCATGTTTGCCATGTGGGTTCCACCATACCCAACCAATATCATCTTCAACCTCTTTCCTCCCAAACCAGAGAGACGCTTCAACTTCCAATGTAACCCAAAGTTTCCTCCATCTTCCTTCTGCTAAGAAATCGAGCAAGCGACAAATCACCTTGAGTTTAGCACCTGAAATTTTGATCCTCATTGCTTGCAAATAGCCGAACTTCTTCCAAGACTCCATCACACACAGCCACAATCTTTTCAAAGACATGCTTCAATGCAAATTAAAAGGTAGACCAAAAATCTTCAAGATCAAGCTTTCTTTAGGGATAGTTTTTTCATTGCAAGAATTTTAGCCTCAGATAAAGCCACAACTTCGAGGGGCGAACCTCTAGAGTTCAGAGAGAGAGAAGATTGAGAGGGAATGATGGTAATTTGATCTATTCATCTCCTTATTACACAGCCTCTTATATAAGCTTTGCAATCAAGATCAAGAATAGAGATTTGGTAGTTACAATTTCAGGTAATCAGTTTCTTGTCTTCAATTACTAACGTGGCTTCTTTTCTTATTTCTTGAATATACTTGTTGTATATCTTAGCCATGCTTCCACTTTGGGTTCCTAACAATTCCTCCCCCTGATGGGGTACACTTGTCCTCGAGGTGGAATTGAGGGAATCACTGCCTCAGAACCATACAATGCATACCTGACTCCCAAGTTGCATCTTCTCTTACTAAGCCTTCCCATTCAATCAAAACTTGTTTCAATATCTGGCTTCCCACCTTAACCCAATGATAATCCAGAACTGTCTTGGGATGTAATTGTAGCATACCTCCTTCATTCAAATCTAGTAATGCCCAACATGGTGAGGTATGGGGAGCTAAACATCTCTTAAGCAAAGAGATGTGAAAAACTAGGCAGATGTGTAATGTGGGAGGTAGGTCCAATCTGTAAGCAACGGATCCAATACGTTCTAAAATTGTATAAGGACCATAATATTTTGGTGACAGCTTATGCCACCCTTTCTTTTTTTTTTTTTTTTTTTGATCAATAACAAGAAACTTTATTAAAGATATAAACTATGTGAAGCTTATGCCACCCTTTCTTTGCTAGTGAAGTTTGTCGGTATGAGTTGAGCTTAAGAAACACCTTGTCCCCCCACTTGAAGTTCTAGTGGTTGATGCTTCTTGTCATACTGGGCTTTTATATAGGCTTGGGCCCAACAAAGATTTGCCTTTTAAATCTTTAGTATGTTGTCACACTCAGTCAGATGATAGTCTACTGCCACCACCATGGTGGAGCCTCAATCATATGGTAGAATAAATGGGTGTTCTCTTTCATACAGAGCTTTAAAGGGATCATTCCCGCTAATACATGGAATGTGATGTTGTACCAATATTCAGTCTAAGGGATCCACTAAACCCAGGAGTTTGGATTTTCACCAGCAAAACAACACGAGTACGTTTCCAAGCAACAATTAAGAACCTCTGTCTGGCCATCAGACTGAGAGTGATAACTCATTGAGTGGTTTAATGTCGTACCATGCAATCTGAAGTACTCACGCCAGAAATGGTTGAGGAAAGTGTCATCTCAATCTGAAATAATCACAGCAGGAGTTCCATGGAACCTTAGGCAAGTACATTTCTAAGCAATGATTAAGAACCTCTGTCTGGCCATCAAACTGAGGGTGGTAACTCATTGAGTGGTGTAAAGTCATACCTTGCAAACTGAAGTACCCATGCCAGAAATGGTTGAGGAAAGTGGCATCTCAATCTGAAATAATGACAGTAGGAATTCCATGGAGCCTTGTTATCTCTCGTATGATTCAGCTATTGTGATTGTTGTGTAAGGATGGACTAATGGAATAAAATGCTCATATTTTGAGAGTTTGTCAAACTCCTGCAACACCTCTGCTATTGCAGCCCAACCCTGTTTCTTTCTCCCTTCTGGCAAAGAAATGATATGTCTCCTCTGTCTCTAGATGTTTCAACAAGCATCAGAAAATGACTTTTGTTATTAACTTTCTTCTCAAGTCAAAAAACATTTCCCATCTCTTCTCAATTCACTGTTCCAACCAGGTGCTGTCACCTTGGATCACCCATCAATAAATCCTTTAAACCAACCTGCAACATCTTGAGTCAAGAAGGTTGCGGCTCTCCCACCTTCTCATAGTGTCGAAACTCCTCCCCCCTTGCTTTCCTCAAACAGAAAGTGCTTTTTTTTCTACTGACACAACTTTCTTCCATGACACATCCATCTTTCTTCCACGACACATCTTTCATCTTGAGATTTCATCCTGATATGTCACCTTCTCCCCATCATGTAATAATCTTGAAATAAATTTCTTTTTGCTTCAACCATTGGCCAACTGATGGAAAAATCTTGAGTTCCCATCTCTTTTAACCATTTGCATCTGGATTTCTCCATCCAGGTAATCTTTTGGGTAGTTAGGATTTTGAATGAATTAATTCGTGCAATTTATCCAAAAAAAATAAAAAACTTGTACTATAATGCATACCTAAAGGCCATGACCGATGCTACAAACATGTTAACAAGTTCTTAACGGTCTAAATTAAGATGTAAAAAGCTTCCCTTGTAAGAACAAAAGGAGAATTTCCCTCTAGAACTCCCCTCCAGGCTCCAGCTAACTTCTTCAAAAGCACAGTTTTGACCAGCCACTGAGACAACTTCACCTCCTCCAGAAACATTTTCTTTTATTAACATAGTATCAGAAAGAAACTAGGTTTCCCTTCCATTAGCATCTAAATTAATACCTTACAAGAAGATTCGACAAATAAATATCTCAAACGATCAAATGTTTCAACCAAAAAGAGGTAAATGGGCTATTTAAAAGCAAAAGTTTTAAAGAGACGGAAGAAATATTCTCATCCTGATAGGCTATCAATGCCATAAATACACTTTAATGTATGGTGCTTCAGAGTAAGAAGGGTCCTAATTTGGGCATATTCCATTTTCAATAATACAAAACATCTCATAGTCAAAAGGAAGAACCTACTATGATGAAAAAAATCTAACACAGGGATATTTAGAATACTTTTAACTTCATTACGGTTTTAACCATTTCATCAAAAATGAGATGTGCCTAAAACATAGCCCAAATTAGTTTGGTTTGTAATGAACCACATGTCCTCTCACTCTCAAATACTTTTTTGAAGTCTCATAATCTTCTCTGACCTGTTGTAGATTGATTTTTTACATAGTTTTTGCAAGTACTGATTATACAACAATGGTTCATTTAACATCCCTTTAATTCTTTTGAAACTTCTACCTCTCTTCAATCCCTATTTTCATGAAAAATAAGGAGATTTCCTAATATGGAAAGAAGAAACTGTACATAAAATCAATTGGATCACTATCAACAAAAAGATGACCTATAGATTACTGCACACAATCTTAAGAGAAAGGCTACATAGAAAAGGATTCTCTATAAACCATAAACAACAATCCCAAGGACATCCAAAAACTCCATCCCCAGAAGATAATCAATCTATCAAGAATCTCAGTCATTAGAAATTGAACAGCAGTTCTCACAAAACATTCGTAACACCACTCAATCACTCCCACTTTGGATCCATTCAAATAGAAAGTGTTTCACTAGCCAGCACATAATAGTCACAGTGAAAAAGAAGGCAATAAGCATCTTATAGTCTGATCAGTATAAAACTGATTTGTAGGGGATAACATAGATCCAATGAACTGAATAAAAAGATAGAAATCAGAACCAGAGTCAATGCCACTCATTTTGTTATCATGTTGCTCCTTCCCCAAATGGGAGACCAATGGTTGAACTTGCACCATTGCCCCTCTATGATCAGTACCTACCATTCCATTGCCTCTAGTTGTTTTCCTCCTGTAGATCCATATGTAGTTTTTTGTAGGCCAAGCCCCTGCCAGACCAAGCTTTAGCCTGGAGAAGATCTTTGTCACATGCACTACATTATGATTTTTCATGTTTAACCTTGGGATCTAATGGAAATGTAAGTGAAGAAAATACAAACAGTTTAATGCACGTTTGACTGTATTTCATTCCAAACTCCTCTAGATGCTTCCAATATACACAATGAAAAAAAATTATTATTCTTCATAACAAAAAAGGTAGAAGGGGAAAAAAACACTTGCAGGAAAAAAAAAAAAAGAAGATTAGTACAGTCTGTCAAAAGCCAGTAAAGAAATATGATTTACTAAAAGAAGGGCTGGTATAGCATCCTTAAGTGTTTCTACATCACTGGGGCGAAAAGATGTTACAAACATATTCTCAGGAGACTAGTTCTCCAAGTACCTTGCTGCATTTTAGTTTATGATGATTCAATCATAGCAAAAAATTTATAGCTGAAAGCACATATCCTCTATAATTACATGAATAAATAATAAAATCAGAATTTATTTTCCTTTTTTTCATTAGTAAAATTTCTTTGTTGCCGGTCTACATACATGAAATTTCCATAAAAAGAAAGAGGGCAACAGAATAAACTTATAAAAATTGTCTTGGTGGAAATATATCAAGGACTCAACAATATTTTTACCAAAGAATAGAATGAGATTGGATAAAATTTAGCACAAGGTATGAGGTGACTGAAATCTAAACTACCTTGAACCTCCTGCAATGCGATACTTGATATAATATAAAGTACCAGGTTCTTCAGAATATTCAACTTCCTAAGAACAAAGAAACAAAATTCATTCCATTCTGTAGGATCTTAAAATTGAGCCAATGGAAACAGCAAAACTTGTATAAATTTTGAGGCATTATACCAAGTCAGAGACCGCTGTCTGCAGACTAGGAGACCAGTTAACCATGTAAGTCCCTGAAAGAAAAAGCATCTTGCTTAATACAGAATTAACTACCATCAGGCCCTCAAGTATATCTATTGCAATTCCACTGAAATCTGTTGCAATGAGATAGGTAGCATTTTTTTAAACAACAATGATACCTAAGAAAAGACAGAAACACATAATTCTTGCAAATTAGTAATCTAGCTTGTGGCAGGAATATCCATTGTCCAGATTTTTATTCAGTACAGTTGATGAGGTTGGAGTGATGATCTTAATTGAGGGTAAAACCTCTCCTTCTATTGCTCTTTACACGGATAATTTTATAATTTTTAGAAAAGATCAATATGACAGCATGTTCTTGAGATGTGTGTTCATTTGTGTGGAAGCAGTGCCGGATTTGAAGATTAACATTGACAAAAGCAAGCTCATAGTGATTTCAATTTTGAAACAGTGCCGGATCTAACTGCAACCTTGAGATGCAAGTGTGTGATGCCTACTCTTTCATTTTGAAACAGCATCCTTGATGAAAAATAAGTTTAAAATAAGCATGATAGTAAACCATTTCTATTAGTTCCTAGTGATTTCAATTTCAGATTGTATGAGATCAATGGATACTGAGGGTCCATGCCACATACCTTTTTTATCAAATAACTGCATCAATTCATTAATATCAGAAAAAAGATACAATAGAATACCAAGGAGAGAGGAAAATTCTCTTAACTCTCCCCTTGGGATTAACACTAAGTACACTGATTACACAAAGCCCAAAAAAGTTGATCTCTCCCCACATACCTTGATAGATTAGGCCTTTGTCATGGAGTCTCACAAAGGCCTCAACCACAGCTCCTGCATTTATTACAACATACAAACTCAGCATACATAAAAATGTATTAATCAAATATAATGGCACTGCATTGTACAAACATTTGAGCAAGACCATGCTTTTCCAAACGCCTACACATTTATATCTAAGGCCACATAATATTTTTATTTTTTATTTATGTTATTAATATTAGTACAATAGATTTTTTTTTGATAATTTAGTAGTATAATAGATATTATTAGACTAAATTGTTCATATTAAGGGTTTATAGTATTAATATTATTATTCTTATATTAGATTCTTTTTATTATTTTCTTATTTGTTTGGGTTCAATCAACACACAAGTCAATAACATAGCCTTGAATCCTTTAGGACTTTAAAACTTGAACTGATAAGTAAGAAATAACTTGAAGATTTTATCCAATCGACATAAGAACAATCAATAGGACTTCTTCTTCCTAGGACCAAACCAAGAGCTCAACCCTTATGGTTTGTATTTTTCTTTCCTTATTTTTCTTCTCATAAATATGTTAATTTTCCATCTTTTGATTCAGGGCTTATACTTATTTCATGAGGATTATGGTAATTATTAGTTAAAGATTATTGCTTATTACCATGAAACCCAAGGGAACTACCCTAGGATTTATACTTTTTTATTTAAAAAATTCATCGCCTAGGTGACTAGGCAACAAGGCACTCCCTATCACCTACTTCACCTTGGTATCTTGAAAACTATGCTGATAACCTATTCAAAACTATAAACAAATTCAACCAAGGCAAACTAAGGAATAGATCAAGCTTAACAATTATGCTATAGGAAACAACAATGAGCGTGTAAGAAGTGATAAGCTTACTGAAATCCAATTTTCTGATATCATTTTTAATAAACTTACAATGATGTGTAAAGATTTCAAAGTTATTCTAGGAGAAAGCTTAACAACACAACAAAGAATAGTGATGGAAGATGTGTGCATTAGGAAATGGAAGAGTAATAGGGACAAAAAAAATCATTTATCAAGAAAAAGGGACGAAAATAGGTCTCCAAGAATTAGGTAGGAAAACTTGAAAGGGGATAGCTCAATTTAGAAGCAGATTGATAATAGAAGGGAACTGGAATTTATATAGAAAGATTAATGATATTTGGCAAACAATATAAAGAAAGTAACAAAGGATGTCTTAAGAGAATATAAAGGAAAGTGGCAAGGTATTAAAGAAATTTGTTTGTGGAATGAAGAGGTTCAAAATATAATTACATTAAAACAAGCATGCTACAAAGAATTGCAAAAGGCTAGAAATGTAAAAAAGTGGAAAAAATGAAAAACAATAAGAAAGGAAGTTAAAAAGAAAGTGAATGAAGTTAAATGAAAGGATTATGATGAGCTTTACCATAAATTAGGTACTAAATAGGGAGAAAAAGGAATGTAAGTTGAGAGAAAGGAAAGGAAGAGATTTAAACCATGTTAGGTGCATTAAAGAAAAAGATCAAATAAAGTTGGAAAAACTATTTTGAAAAATTATTAAATGAACACTAGAGAGAAGGTGCTAATGGAGGAGAATCTAACAATACTAGTAGTGTTAAAAATAATATGTACCTCGGGATCAAATCCCACCTACACCAAAGTTGGGAAGGTTATGGATTGGGGGATGGGCTACCCCCATTGTGTAGCCCTTCAAAATATATCAAAAAAAAATAATATTTACCTTCATAGAATTAAGCATACTAAAGTAAAATAAGCACTAAATAAAATGAAGAAGGGAAAGGTGTCAAGACCTTATGGGATTCCAATAGAAGTATGGAAAGGTATGGGAGAAGTAGGCTTGTTATGGCTAACCAAGCTATTTAATAAGATAGTGAAAGAAAAGAAAATGTTTGATGATTGGAGAAACAGCAATATGGTGTTTATATTTAAGAACAAAGGTAATATACAAAGTTATAATAACTATTGGGGAATTCATTTATCAAAAAAAGTAACTATCAAGGGATTAAATTTATGAACCACACTATGAAACTTTGAGAAAGAATAATTAAACAAAAATTACAACTTGAAACTAGTTATCAAAGAACAAATTAGGCTTAATGCTGGAGAGATCAACCAGGTGATAGAAAATCTCAGAGAGAAGAAAGATATTCTATGGTGTCATTGATCTAGAAAAGGTAAATGATAGATTTCCTAGAGAGATAATATGGTGGGTCTTGGAAAAAAGGGGTTCAAAAATAGGTACATATACCTAATTAAGGATATGTATGAGGGAACAACAACCAATGTTAGAACGCCGGTGGGAGAGACTTCAAATTATACAATTACTATGGGTCTTCACCAAGTTTCAGCACTTAGCCCTTATGTATTTACACTAATCATAGATGAATTGACTAAACATATTCAAGGGAAGTTCCATTGTAAATGTTGTTCATGGATAAAATTGTTTTAATTGATGAAACTAATGAAGAATTAAATGCAAAATTAAGCTTATGGACAAATGCCTTAGAAACAAGAGGTTCTAAAATAAGTAAGATTAAAACATAGTATACGACATGTAAATTCAGTAATAATAGGAGTGTAAATCAATATACACTTGGGATTGCAGACCAAGAGATAACTCAATGTGACCATTTTCGGTACTTTGGTTCAATAAATCATAACAAGGGAGAGACTGAGGAAGCCACCCAAAGAATTAGAGCATGATGGGCAAAATGGAGGGATGCATCTGGACTTTTATGCGATAGGTGAATACCACTTAGATTAAAAAGAAAATTCTATAAAACTGTTGTAAGGCCAGCTATGTTCTATGGAGAGGAGTGTTGGACAGTTAAGAAAAAACATGTCCAAAAAATGAATGTGGCAGAAAGACGAATGCTAAGATGAATGGTGGAAAAACTATAACGGATAGGATTAAGAATGATGTTATCTGTAGGAACCTAGGAGTAGCTCCAATAAGTGGTAAAATGAAAGAGGGCAGATTAAGATGGTTTGGGCACGTGCATAGAAGACCAAAAGTGGATTAGCGGAACAGGGTAGACCAAAAATGACATGGGTAGAAGTAGTAGGAAATGACTTAAGAACTAATAATTTAATAGTGGATATGGCTTTAAATAAAATGGATTGGTGAAACAGGATTCATGTAGTCGACCCCATATAGTTGGGATAAAGCATGGATGATGATGATTTTTAATAAACATTTCTGATGTGCAAGTAGAAGAACAAAACTTCCATGTGCTAAACTACAATCAGGTATCAAATATTAAGTCATCATTCACACCAACTCATCAAAAATAATGATTGGACAGGAAATTGTCTTACGACTTAGCTGCTCATCGAGGGTGAAATGTTCTCTGGTCCAATCACAAGATGCACCCAATCTCCTAATCTGGTTTGTAATGGTTCCACCATATCTGAAAATTGTACCAGATAAATATACAGATCACCAACAGAATCAGTGACAACATAAAATTCCTCTAGACAAAAAAAAGCAAAATTATCCCACATTCCACATATTCAGCAATAACAAGATAAAGCAACTTCTTTTCTTACTTCTTTTATTATTGGTATTAAAGCAGTCTTTTTGCACCATAGTTAATTTCTTTAAGTGGAAACACTATAAGAAGAATGACAGTACAATGACAACAGTAAGACAGAGACCTTTTAAGCCATGAAAAGGCAAACACCTTAACACCATATATCAGCTCAAATCCCCATAAGTTTGTCTTTTGTGAATAAGAGTCCGTGGCCAGCATGGGGTCATGATACTACATTATCCAGTAAGTAAATATAGTCTACTATTGTCATGAGCTGTGTACTGGTGTGAGAGGAGAATGAAACAATGAGAAAGATGCATGAAAAGAGAAGACTTAGGGCAATAAAACAAACCAAATCTACCTCTTTCAAATGAGAGAGATGCTTAGTATTAACACTAGAAATATCCAAATTACAAAGCACTCCTCAATGGGGCAGATATTACATTAAAATCTCTCATTATTATTTTTCACCTCAAAATATCCCCTTTCTTCATACATAATACAGTTTGAACACTCCAGCACTCCCCATAAAGCTAGCACCACCTAGCTTGCTCGCAAAGGAACATCATAACCTTGGTAGCAATATGATCAACTAGTCTTATAGGACAATTATCAAACAAAGAAAAGGAAGGTGGATGGGGGTCTAGGTTTGGGCAATGCGGGCAAGAAGAACCTAGCTCTGTTAGGTAAACGATTGTAGAGATAGCCTAATGAGAGCGATAAGCTATAGTATAAGGTGGTGGACAGCATTCATGGCAGTCTAGAAAATGTATGGGATGCTGCCATTTCTTGTAGGGCAACTTTGACATCTTTGTGGATAGTCAATATGTGTATTATCCCTCAGTTTCTCAGCTTTGTTAGGTATGATGCTTGTTCTGGGAATAAAATCTTGTTCTGGGAAGATATTTGGGTTGAGGATGCTGATCTCAGGGCATGTTGAAATTGGAAAGAAACTTGGTCTTTTCTTTTTGGGAGGTGAGGCTTTTGTTAGGAGAGCCTTTGAAGATTTCAAGAAAAGATGGGAGAAATGTGGGAAGAAAAACATCATGGGGAAAGGAGGAGAGATTTGGAATGAAGCAGATGATGAGGGGTGACCGCTTGTCACCCCTCTCATGTACGATTTTTTTCCTTTTTAATAAATTTTCTTTTATCATCAAAAAAATATATTTTTCACTCCTTGTACTCCATATCTTCTTTTAAAAAGGACCCAATTGTGAAGTTTGTCTCTTTTCTCCTACTACGAACATTTCCTAGGAAAGGTCATTGAGTGAGCATGAATGAGTCTATTTCCAATTTATTGCAACTAATTGAAAGATTTTGGCTAGACTTTCCAGTTCATATAAGTGTATCTGGTCCCCCCATCTTTTTTTTTTATTAATAACACGCAACTTTCATTAATAGAATAGAATTAACTACGGGAGAAAGAGAGATAAAAACTCTTAACTCCCCCACTTTTAGGCAAAAACAACAAGACAAGATTACAAGATAGCCCAAAACATTGAGTCCCCAGTCACCCCTTGTTTGGCTAACCCATCAGCAAAGCAGTTAGCACTTCTTTTCACCCAGTTCAGTTTGACTTCAATATCTTTAGTCAACCACTTGAATTTCCTCTTCTCGTCGCTATAAGTCCAAACGCTAGCATTTTCTTCTTTAGCCAGCCCACCACCAATTTGGGATCGCCCTCTATAACCAATTTAGTGATGTTTAGCTCATTAGCCCTTCGAATTCCTTCTAGGACAGTTGAGATCTCATCCCTGAGAGCATCACCCAATCCAACAGGCGGCAGCCCTTAAAAATCTCCACATTACTCTTCCTCTCTTCTTTGGCCAACTAAACAAGGTAGGAGCAAAAAGAGTTTGTACATCCAGCGGAGGACACTACCTGCACCCAAACAACGAGAAACACCACTCCCAAATATAATTAGTAAAAGAGCAAGAAATCAATAAGTGGTAGCTGGTCTCACCCATAGCCTTGTAGAGAACACACCAGTGAGAAGATAGATAACAATTAGGTCTCTTTCTCTGAAGAAGATCACAAGTGGAATAGGTTTACACCAGACTTCCTTAACCGGGAAAGGCTGCCCTAGTGGCATAGATGGTTGAGTTAAACCTTTGAAAATAGGAAGTACATGAAAAAACCCGAGGCTGACAGAATCCAAACCCTGCTGTCAGATTTAGTGGGATCTATAAAAACCCCCTCAATAATGTTTAGGAGAGACGAGGTACTATTCAGTTCTGAATCCCTAACAACTCTTCTCAGTCCCAAATTCCACCCAAACCCTGAATTTGCTTGTGAAGATACCAAAAAGTGGTCCTCCCATCTGTCTGATGTTTTCTCTTGTGCATCATTTTTCCCTCCTTGTGCTCTTCTCCCCCCCCCCAGTCTTCTCCCCCTAAAAGTTAGTGCTTTTTGTTAGGAATTATTTTACGGAAAAATTAATACTATAATTATCTTCAAGAGAGAAGACCTCTTCTTCGTTTGTCTCCGACCTGGTGCATTCTTTGTAAAGCTAATGGGGAGACTTGTTATCACTTAGTAATCTCCCGTCAATTTATTGCATGTATTTGGGAAAGATTCTTTTCTTTACTTAGGTACAGGCGAACTTTACAATTGGAGCTGCATGCCCTTTTTTTTTATAAATAGCTACATGCCCTTTCTAACCCTTCCACTTTTAGATGACCAAGGAAAAGGGGTAGAATACTTTGGAGGTGCACAAGCGCAGCTTTGATTTGGTCGATTTGGGAATAAAGAAATGCTAGAATTTTTCATGAAAAAGAGAGAAGCTTGGAAGAGGTGGTAGTGTATAGCTATCAAGGCGCTACATTGGGTATAAACCTAGACGATTTTCTCACATTTATCCTTTGATGATATATGGAGCAATTGGGATTTGGTGGCAAAAAGTTCTTCAAGGAAGGATAATCCTTTTTCCTCTTGCATCCCACCAAAAGAAGATTTTATTAAACTTAACTTTGATGGAAGAAGCTTACGCAATCCAGGGCCTTAAGGAATTGGAGGTGTGTATTCAGGAATAAAGAGGGAGGGGTTGTTGTGCTCTTCTCTAATCTGGTTGGTCTGGGAGATTCAACAACAGTTGAGCTTCTTGCAGATATTCAAGGTTTACACTAGCTTGAAATGGTGTTTTCCCCCTATTGGGAACATCTTTCACCTCTCCTGACCCAAAAAATTGACAAAGGAGTTATTAATGGTGTTTTCCCCCTACTGGACGAAGCTACAGCATAACTGCCACATGCCAGGCCTTCTTCACGTGAAGAGGTTAGTATTTCTTCTTCCTGCTCCACTTCTTTTGATAGCTTCAGCTTTTGTTTAACCACTTTTGGGAATAGGGTTCCATCATTCATGATGTGCAGTTGTTGTTTGCCACATAACACCCAAGTTCTCCACCCCTTCATCTTCCCCCCTACGAGCATCCTTCCACAGAGAGGCTTCAATGGAAGTTGCTAACCAGATGCTGTACAAAGTAGCATCAGCCAGCAACTCAACCTTTCTTGGAATGTCATCTGATTTTACAGGGTTCAGCAGCACTGCAGCAGAGTGTAAATTCAAACTGAAGACTCCACCTAAGCAGCCATTACAAGCTAATGCAATTGTCTCAAATAACTACTTCCAGAGATGAAATGGAAAACCAATCACTCACTATTACACCATCTTCTAAATCAAAATGTCTTGTGCTAGAAACTTAGAACCAGGACACAAATTTGATAGAGTGAGAGCCCCAAACTCATTGCTGCAATTTCAATCTTATCCTCCACCAGATCAAGTAACACTTTTCTACTTGGTCTGGGAGATTCAAAGTTTACACCACTAATGGCTCCTCCATCACATGAAAGATCACGAGGGAACAGTCAACTGGATTTTTAAAAATGCTGCAACAGTTGAAAAGGATCTGGTTATATGGTATATCTTCGTCCAATCGTGAGGGGCCTAACGGAAAGAAAGTGGAGAAGCTTTGTTTCAGGAAAGGCAAGACAACTCTACGTTTCAGCTCCAGGAATTCAATTGCTGCGGAATCTCGATCACGAGGAACTTCAAAAGCAACAAGTCGAAGAATAGGAATGCTGATATGGTTTGGGAATGGATGGTAACAAAATTTAACCAAGAAAAGAGTGTGATCAGTTTGAATCTTGGACAGGAATGTCCTCCTCTAAAGGATCAAGGATGGGCCTCTTCAAGAGACCAAAATGATGGAGAGTTTGTCTTTCTCTGCTGGTCTGGAGCATGTGGATATTAACTGTGGGAAAGAAAAAAGGCCAGAGTTTTCTCACATCTTTGGAAGGACTGGAGCAAGAGAACTCGCAGCTTGATTGCAGCGGAGAGGTAGATTCTGGTTTCCCCTTGTCTATGGGTGAGGAAGAGTTAGTGCCAGAAAGTCAAGTTATTAGGGATGAAGCCTGCTTGCAGGAGAATGATGCTACTTCTCTTTCGGATGTTTCTTTGATCTCAGTGCGAAGTTCCAAAACTCTTGAGGGAGATGTTATAGTTTCTAGAGCTGGTAAGAATTTTGAGGAAGAAGAGATAGTTTTCTCAGAAGTCATAGTGGGGAAATTAGGAAGAGATCTTGGTAGCTTTGGCAGTTTTTTCCTTTTTTTTCTTCTCAAGCTGGTAAAAATTCTGGTCATTGGCAGTTTTTTTTTCTTCTTTCCTCTCACCCATTTCTTATGAGGGATCTGTATATTTATCGTTTACACTAACAGCAAGAATTCCCCCCTCCCCCTTCCTAATTTCTTATTCATTCTTTGGTGGACAGCAAGTCATCTACTTGCTTTCCTGTCCCTAATCACCTATAGCCCCTCCTTTGCTCCACAAAACCCACCACCAGTTCTTAAATTAGTAGGACTCCTACCCCATCCTACATCACATCTGAAGCAAAGCAACACTTGTCACTGTAGAGAATGCATCAGGAGAATTTTTTTGCTATAAATGGAAGACCACTGAACTGGAGACAAATTGAGGTTTCTAACAGATTTCCGGCATGGTGGTTGAGAATTTGTAATAATAATAATAGGTAAGAGTTAATACTTAGTAGAATAGTGGAAAAAAGTTGTATCGTATTAAGATTGAACAACTAACTACTTTTGCAGCCATAAAATAGGAATAAGCAGTGCAACAAAAAATAATAATTCTGAAAAATAAAGAATAACAGAAGTAGAACAAAGTGGCATACTTCTCTTTCCACTCCCAAACACGTCTTGTGAACTCATCTCTACCTAGTTCCGCCTTTTTAATTCCTTCAGATGAAAGCATTCTCTCCACAACCAGCTGAAATTACAGCATATTTAGAAGTTTAATGCCATAATGAAACTCTTTTTTTCTTTTTTTCTTTGTGTGTGTGTGTTGGGGAGGGAGGGGAGGGGAACTGCAACCTCATGTAAAATTGTAAAATTGTTTAAGCATAAGGAAAAATATTGAGCAGTTCGATCATTGAGGAGACAAGATTTAAGGTCCAACAAAGTACTACAAACAGAACAAAAGCCAAAGTGAAAACTTAAAATTTTTTCCACAAAAAAAAAGGTGGAACAGAGGAAATAGCAATAAAATCACTAACAGTTTAACCATATTGGGCAAAAAAGTTTTCAAACAACAAACATGAATAAAAAGATGGCTATGGAATTTTGTTCACTGTATGGCTATGGAATTTAGTTGAGTCAAATATAATTCTTTGACTTGAAAAATTGCCACCACTGTCATATCTCATCAAACCATCTTTATTTTTCTAATTTCATTTTTCGAAATTAGAAAAATGTCACAATATTGTCATCTCAACACAGCCATGCTATTATTTTTTTTAATACTTTTTTGTTTTGAAATTTGCTATTATTTTTAATACTTCTTTGCTCCAAAATTTGAGCATAAAGCTGACAATGTCTCTCTCCCTCCTTTTTTTTACCAATCTCTCTCTCTCTCTCCCTCCTCTTTCACCTACCATAACAAACGTCGCATTAGCATCTCAATTTTAACCCTTAATTTATCTTTCAGGTAATCCTATTACGAATTCGACACTACAACTGTAAAACATTTAAGATTTAACTCTCTTTCTAAACATTATATTTTTATTAATTTATTTATGACGTTGTGGGTCAACCCATTCAACCCAGACAGTTGAACCGCTGATCCAGAAACCAGAGGGGAAAACAGTTTCGTTTCTGGGTCAGTTTTTAAAACATTGCTTGAAAACACTAGTTTGGTGACCTGCTGGTTACCCATGACCCAACCCAACCCAACCCGAAATCTTTTCAGGTTGGGTCAACTTATAGTTTTTTTTATCAATAACAGAAGGTGAACTTATAGATCAGGTTGCTAGATAGAGGACCCTAACCCATTTTTTTTGGGCTGGATTGGCTTTTTGCCAGGTCTAAAAATGATTGTTCAGTCTAATCCCAAACCTGTCAAATGGCAAAAAGTCTATTGACTTGATCAGAAAAAACTCATAACTAAAGTTTAAACTATTAGAATTCAGAGAAGAAGCCGGAAGTCCTGCCAACAGAAAAGGGGCGAAGGAACATCAGGAGAGCAGTTGGATTGGTGAAGGTAGAACGACGACAGATGCTTTGCAGCAATTCCAGATGCCTCTGAGCCAAGAAGCACGTCCAGTGTCATCTCAAGATCACTGTCTGCAGCAGGAGGATGGAGAGGGGACTGAACCAGAACAAGTGAGAGCAACCGGCCAGAGCAGTGGTATCTCAAGGAGGGGGACTCAAGCGCCTGAAAGGCCTGACCAACAACAAGTCAGTGCAGTTCGGTGAAGAGGTATGTAGCTTAGAAACCTCCTCTGCCTTAATTTCTGAGTTCGAGGGTGGGGGTCAGCGGCAGGAGGACAGAAAGGCAGGGACAAAAGAAGGAAAGACAAGGGGAAGAAAGAGAAAACAGCGTTTAGATGGGGAAAAGGAAGACACATCAAGGAGAGTTTACATCAGAAAGGGAAGATTGGAGGTTGGGGAGGTGATAGATGAAGAAAGGGAGGAAGACGAGGTAAAGGAGACAGAAAACAGCCAAGAGGACCAAAGAGGAGAGAGGGAGGAGGAGGGGGAAACAAGGAGCGAGACAGAGAGAGAAGTGGAGCTTTTCAGAAATGGGGACAGAAATCAAGGGTCATTTGGCTAAAAGAGGGGGATAAGAATACATCATATTTTCATGCTTTTGCAAGTGCGACAAAGAGAAGAAATTCGACCACAAGAGTCAAAATAGGAGATGAGTTTCTGGAAACTTGGGAGGGGATTCAAAGGAAGATCATGGAGTTTACAAAGGTATTTACAGAGAGAGAGGGTGGAGTTGGGTGACTCTTGGGAGTTTGGAACCAAAAACAAAAAGTAATTTTTCTGCAAATTGGCTGAAAAGGGAGGTTAGGGTTGAAGAAATCAGAGAAGCTCTTAAAAAGATAAATGGGGACAAAGCACCAGGGCCGGATGGCTTCAATTTCAATTTCATTAAGGCCGGACGGAGTTTTTTGGAGGAAGATTTCACTCAGATGGTGAAGGAATTTTGTGATTCAAAAGTCTTGGACAGAAGACTTAGTGCAACTTTCATTAGTCTAATTCAAAAGAAGGATGGTGCAGTGGACATAAAAGATTTCAGACCAACAAGTCCGATTATCAGCCCTTATAAACTGCTGACCAAGGTGTTATCTAGGAGGTTAAAGGGGGTAATTCATGAGGTGGTAGGAGAAACCCAAATGGCTTTCGTGGAAGGTGGACAAATTTTACATGGGGTGTTGGTGGCTGGTGAATGCATTGATTCCAAGACAAGAAGTGGTCGTCCAAGGCTGATTTGCAAAATTGACATTGAGAAAGCGTATGATCATGTGGAGTGGGGCTTTTTAAAAGAAATGCAAAGGTTAATGGGGTTTGGGGAGAAGTGGAGAAATTGGACATTTGCATGTCTCATCTATCTCCTTTTCCTTAACAGTGTTTTGAAAGGCGTGGGAGGTGTATGCTTGGAGGCGCACCTCCAGGTGAGGCGCCCCCAAAACACCCTGAGGCGTATGCCAGAGGTGCTGACACCTCTGAGGCATACGCCTCAGGTGCAAGAGACGTATGCCTCATACGCTTTTTTCATGAGGCGTACGCTTCATGTGCCTCATGCACACCTTATGTAAAAAGATAGAAAAAAAAAAAGAAAAGAAGGGAGAGGAAAATAAAGGGAAGGGAAAGAAAAAGAAAGAATGAGAAGAAAAAAAGAAAAACAAAGGAAAGAAAAGGAAAGGGAAGGAAAGGGAAGGGAAGGAAAGAAAAGATAAGGGGAAAGAAAGTGGGCCAGGGGCTTAAACCCTGAACCCCTTCATTCTTTTTTAACTTCTCCTTCTCGGTATTCCTTGTCTCTGGCCGGAGGCAACAACATCTATTAAGTGTGATGACCAAAAGCAGCAAGGAGGCATTGAAGAATCACCATTGTCACCCCTCATCCTTCTTAGCTTCTCCTTCTTGGTATTGAAGCATTGTCATCATATAGGAGTATATGGTTGAAACTGAAAAGGTAACCTAATATCCTAGCCTAACAACCCAGACATGGTGTACTGCTATAACAGCCTAACCTGTTCAACCCAGACAGTTGAACCATCAAACCATCACCCAAAAAGTAAATTTGTTCACTCTCCAGGTAGGTTTTAAATCACCATTATTGAAATTTAGAAAAGAAGAAAAAAAAAACTACTTGTATCATTGTCCCTGCTTAACTGCTTTATTGAAATGTAAAAAGACAAACCTGAGTTGCAATACCAGCATGATCGGTTCCAGGAAGCCAAAGAGTAGGTCTTCCCCTCATTCGATGGTACCTAACCATAATGTCCTAACAAAATAAATGATACTAGTAAATAATGGGCATAATCTTTTTTTTTATGAGTAATAATGGGCATAAACTTGACAATGAAGTAAATAATATGGAACAACAAAATATTAAATAAGAAATGGAACTAATTTATCCACTATAACAGAAAGAATGAGGTATTTCATAAATGGTACACTGCAGATCCAATAATAATCTAAATTCATAAACCAATCCATGTGTTGAATGCATATCAAGTATCAAGTTCAAACTCATGTAGAAAGCCAATGAAAAATGTCTATTGTAAGTTTCAACAAACAGTGCCATCTCAAATGTTTCTTCATAATTCCATTGAATTTGTGTTGGTGGATGGGTATGCATAAAACTATACATTACATGAGGTTGAGATAGCCACCACAAAAATTGTGTCTACATGAAAATATATGAATATACATGAGCCAATGTTCTACAAAACCCCCTCCCTATCAAAATTTATTCACCTCTTTCTTTAAATTCTTCTAGAACTACTGCCTAAACCATTAACCATAATTGATGAACATATATCCCTGTAAATTCTTGGCATTAGTTTCAATAAGCCTTCAAAATGTTTTCTAGTTTGCTCCTTCCAAATTCTTAGAAACCACAAGTGGGTTAGTGGGGTTTAACTTCCTTGAAATTTATCCTCTAGCTTAAAAAGGAGGAAACTGCCAAGATAGCACAAATCAATGAACCATGTCAGAATTCTACAATTCAGCCAAATACAAAGAAGAATCCCCAAGACTTGCCATCTATCAATGAAGAAACAGGTGCCTGCAAACTTCTTCCACTTTCTTGCAAATGATAGAGCTTTTCTCCAAGAAGATATTCCTTTACTTAAGCTGATCAAGAGTCTATTTCTCACAAGCACCATCAAATGCATAAAGGACTAAACCCTAGGGATAATGGACTGGTTCTGATCTAGGGTTTGGAGCTTTTTGGGATCTGAACCAGTGGAAAGGTTACCAGGGAGTGAGCAGAAATGTGTAAGAATGTATCTCGAATATCTCCCCCAAGAGTGGGCTCAGGCACCCTATTTATAGGAAAGCTGCCATAATCTGCATGGTATCCTAGGATAGAATTCGAGAATATTCACTCAGGGAAAGTCCTTTAGTTAGTTATGCTAGCTCAGAATAAGTAGTTGCGAGTGAAAGCATGAGAGAATCAGGAACTAACTAGTGCAGCTTTCCCTATCTTACCATGTGTCACCATCCTAAGTTTTGCTGAGATTGTTATATTATCACTCATTATGTGACGAGGCTTGTGTTAGGTTCACAGTATTTGAACATTTGCTTATATGCCAGCTACACATACCTGATATTGGGATTCACTAGGTACTTTAGTAAGTCAATGGCACTGGACATGTTATGCTCTCAAACCTTGTAAATTACAGTGAATAAAACGATTAGTCTGCCCCTTAATAGGTGGCATCAACAAAAGAAGGTCAAACAAATGAGTGTGTGACCCAATAGGTCCATTACATAACCAGCCCATAAAACAAATAAAAGTAACTAAGGATATAAAGCTATATGCCATATTTCAACAATGTAATAAGGAATTATACAAAAAGATGATACATTTAGTTCCACAGCTAAAATATTAACCAAGCTTTTAAGCATTCAATCACCAACCTCGAGAGTCACAAACATGGCATGCCCCATATGTAGTGATCCCGTAACATTAGGAGGTGGCATGGAAATAACAAAAGGATCTCCTCCTCGATCAACGCTTGGCTTGAAATACCCTTGAGACTCCCACCTAAGGACAACACTCAATCACATAAAGATACTAATAGAACATTAAGGAGAGCTTCTTTAAAATCATAACTAGTCTTTATTCTAAAGTATGCAATTGCTTAGACTTCTACAAACACAAGCAAGCAGTCCTTGCCAACAATACATACAGTCAGAGCATGCCAGTGTAGGCAAATGCATGCACAAAATGATATGTGAATGCTTTCACCACTCCCAAAGAAAAGAAGCAAAAGAAAGTTAGTGAAAAATCATTAAGTTACAAGAAAATAAAAGGCTCACAATACAACTACACTCTCTCAGCCCCACTTCTGGCTAGTCATTTGGCCAACCACTGGCAGATTTTAGCATCTAGTGGAATGAGAGGTCCTTTTCTTTTTTATTTCGTTGGAAGGGGATTCAGTCATTTTTTAAACTCCCAACTTCATTAAACATCTTCATTGTATAAAGGGAGAAATTTCGGGAAATTTACAAAATTTCACTTAAAAACCTGGAATTTTAAGGAAATTGATGGCAGATATTAGAAATACATGGAATTTATGTATGAAACTAAAAGAAATATTAAATTATATTTACTACATCTCAAAACCTTAAAAGACCATCCACAATGTACAACAAACAATAAAAGATTAAGAATCTCAAATAAGCATCGATAGGAACATACCACAGACACTTTCCGCAGAAGCCTTCCCAATCAATGGCAAAAGCAAAATACTCTCTTTTTCCCAACTACACCTCTCTATATTTCAGGATCCTCTAAGCCCAAAGTTTCTTACTCTCTAATCTCTACAATCAATCTCAATTCTCAAGTTCTCAACTTTCTTTCAACAAGGAGGCTTGCTCAAGTGCCTCAAGTTAATTTAGGAGGCTAAGAGGCTTCATCTATTGAAATCAAGTTAAGATAACAGATTGGACTACTGGGTAAGGGGTAATTTAATTTTCTTTTTTTTTCTAATTTTTTAGTGTTTTAATACTTCACATGTATTAAAATGGCCGATTCATCCCAAACACCGTTTCCCTATGGCCATGGCTTTGACAATGCATATTCTTAGTACCAATATTATAACATCAATGTCAGTGCTAGTGCTACTAATGTTGATGCTAGCGTACCTAAGGAAACGAGAACAAGAAGAAAAACTAGTTTAGTATGGATTTTTTTTTTGATAATTGAAATAAATTTATTAATCAGCAATAGACAATAGTACAAAGTCCCCGAGTAGAGGCACGAGATGCAACCTTTCCGGGCTAGTTAAGTACAAATTCCAGATTACTAATAGCTTACAAAGTAGCACCCTGGAAACCCACTATTTGGCTAAAGAATCAACCACAGAATTAGCAGACCTGGTAACACATTGTCGGCAAGATATGATTTGCGGCAAATTAAGAAAGATATGATTTGCTGCAAATTTAGAAAGATTTGATTTGATTGATTACAGATTTGAATAAATTTAGGAAAGATTAGATTTGAATAAAATTAGGAAAGTCATATTCTAGGATTAAGGGAAAGATTTAATCAATCCCTAATTGAGAGAGATTCTAAGAGTTTGTCTCTCCTATCTTTTCTTATTTAAGTTGTATGCTCAACATGTTTTATCAACACATTATCAATACAGAAGTTTTTCTTCTTCTCTCCCTCTTTATTTCTTCTTCCTTCCTCTTTATTTTTCCACATGGTATCAGAGCTTTAGGGTCCGATCATGAATTTTAAGGCCGCCATGGTTGGCTCTGGTTCAGCCTCTTCGGATGCTACCAGTGGTGTGACGTCTTCGAAGGGAGGTATTCAGTCAGCGGCCATTTCTCTTTCTGAGAATTCTCTTCAAATTACCATTCACAAATTGAATAGAAAAAATTATCTTGAGTGGTCTCAGTCCGTGCGGTTGGTGATCGACGGCAAAGGGAAACTCGGCTATTTGAATGGCGAAGTGAAACCGCCAGCCACTAATGATCCAAAGTATAGGCAGTGGCGTTCTAAAAATTCAATGGTTACCGCCTGATTGATCAACTCTAGGGATCCTATGGTTGGAAAACCATTCATGTTCCTGTCGATTGCTCACGATGTGTGGGAAGCTGTTAGGGAAACCTATTTAGATCTGGACAATCATTCACAACTGTTCGAACTGAATACCCGAATGTGGAAGATGCAGCAAGGTAAGCATGAAGTAACTGCTTATTATAATGAGATGATGGTTGTTTGGCAGGAGCTGGACTTATTTGAAGAAGAAGAATGAATCTTCTTCCATTTTGGCTGATGTATATATTGTCTTACCAAGAAAGCAAACAAATGAAATTAATCTTAATAATTGAAACTGCTGATCAAAAAAATCCTTATTAATTGAAATCAAAGGAAGTAATGAAATCCATTTCAACTATGAACTTTACCAATTGTAGATCCGTTCCTCAGAGGTAAAATCAAAAGACTTTGCCGACTCTGGAGAGGTAAATATGCCATTCTCTGATGCTACAACTGATATATGATGAAAAAAAATGGTGAAGACCAAATGCAATAAAGAATATTCAAGAACATAAGCAATCTAACTAAACAAAGTAACTAAAAAGGAAAAAAGGAGAAAATGAAGTATCTGAAATCAATAAGAAAATAATCAGATTCTTCACCATTTTCAGATCCCTACATAAGTATTGAGACCCTCTTTTCTTCAAAAAAGATAACAAGAAACTCTATCCAACTATTGCAGCCAGCCTTCTCTTGCACTTGCAATTGCTCTTAAACTCAAATGTCCTGTTAAGTAAACAACGAGAATGATGAGAAAAGAATAAGAAGCCTCACCATTCTCAGCCTCTATATAAACTCTTACCTTCCCAACCTCCGTAGTCCCTTCAACTAAATCTGCAGCTAAGCCTTAGCCTGCATTTTCTATTGCTCTTGTGATTCAGAAGCCCTTTTAAGTACATAACAAACATGATGAGACTAGATCCCTCTTTTTCATCTATAATATCTAGTATATGTTCATTTTCTAGTATGTTGCTTGCTTGCAGAAGGCATGAATCTTTGGTGGTAGAGCCGTAGAGGAGCGCTTTCCAGCTCTATGTGAGGAAATCAAAAGTAGGGATTAATTGATCCAATAAAACACTTTAAAAGTTGACCATCTTTTCCTCCATTATGAAATGGCTCCTATGTCCCATTGCTTTAGCTAGTGGACATGACATAGGTTGCCTCCTAGATATTATCAGGTAAGTCTCTTGATGGAAATTTCATCTGTTTCACATGAAAGTAAGACCCTATGGAGTATACTACCTTACATAGTAACTGGTAATATGGTGTATTTGGGAAGAGAGGAACAAGAAGACTCCCAAAGCAATAGATATTAATATCTATGTGTAATTGGCAGTATCTTGTCTATAGCTGCTCAGTGGGTGCTTACCTCTAACAAATTCAAGTGATTCTCACCATCAAACCATTCAAGTCACAGCACATGCATGAACCATGATTCTGCCACCACTGATTAAAACAGAAACCAAGTGCCAAGCGCCTCCTACTCTACTAACCCAAATTGGCACTGCAAAGTTTATGCACTTTTCAAAAACCCATTAGGAAAAGTGTACGTTTTTGGACTTTCTGAAGCTAATCATGCCCTCCCTAATAATATCTTAACCAGGAAACCTCTTAGGCTCTTACACAAGAGTCCACTGCATTGCCTACCAATAAAAAATTCCACTGCATTATATTAAAGAAACAAGTATCTGTGCTTATCAGGGAGAATTACAACGTATATTCGACTTTAGACATCTCAAGTGAATGGTCAAATTCCAAATGAAGCAAAATTTCGGAACTCTACTGGTGCTACAAAAATCCACTAAAAAAAATTATGATAAAAAAACAAAAAAAAAATCATATCTACACCAGACTAAAATTACCTGTAAAAAATCTAGGGCTGAAACGCCTGAAACTCCAATGAGAAATATTAATCCCACGATTGCGACGAGAGAAAAGAAGAGGATTGAATCTGTAGGCAGCGCAAGTAGAGAACAGGGATGGATGGGACAACGCCATTGAAGAATCACAATCTTCTAGTGTAGCTGGGAACCATTTGAGGACGCAGATAGCAAGGGAAAGAGGAGGGGAAACTTGAATGACCGAAAGAGAAAACCTTTGCTGAACCGGATCTGGTTTCAGTGGCAGAGGAGAGAGATAAGGCGGGAGATTGCGAAAAGAGTGTCTACACCGAACCCACCACTTGAAACCCACTCATAAGTCATACCGAGATGGGATCTGCTCCTCACAAATGGGCACCTCACATGCACATCCACCGTGCATTGAGAAATCTCCCGTGAATAATAATTGATAAGTACGGGAGATGTTCCCAATGCATGGTAGGATGTGCGTGTGATGCGCCAGGTGTCAGGAGCAGATCTGGTCTCAAGTCATACCTAATTATCGGGAAAGTAATTTTAAAGATGTATTGAGATACGCCTTTGATACGCATACGTATCTAAGAAAAACTAAGATACACAGATACACTTGAAAACATTGTAAATACTTTAACAAATCATAAAATACATCAACAACACTAAATATAAGACCTCAATGAGGTGTATATACATTAAAATATATTTTAATGGTTTTATGAATAAATATATTGTACTTAATTATAATTTCATTAAAAATCGTATGGTTAACTATAACTTATAAATTATAATTCTTAAGTTTTAATGTTTTATGGAATGGAAAAAACCCAACTCTCCTATCCAACCATAAAATATGCATTGGCACAACTTCTAAGTGAAAATATAATTAATAATAATATTATTTAAAAAATAATTATTTATTATTTATTTTCAAAAAATAAATAAATATTATATAATATATTCAACAAATAGTTATTAAAGAAGAAATTTCAATTTCTTCATTGTGATCAAATAATAATATTATTTAAAAAATAATAGATCATTATAATTAATTATGGATATAATAGATCAAAAAATAAATAAATATTATATGATATATTCAACAAATAGTTATTAAAGAAGAAATTTGAAAATATAAATTACATTTTCAAATTTTTTGTTAATTTATATTTTCCCCAAATATCTTCATGAAATTTCCATCAAAAATTATGATTTGGAATGTAAGAAATGTAGATTAACATAAATTTATACATTCAAGAAAAAATATATATTATAAAAATTTGAAAAATTTTACCTACTTTTACCAAATTTTGAAAAATCTTTAAAAAAAAAGTAATGATTCACACTTGTTTCTTGCAATTTTTTTCAAATCTAGCACTCTAGGAAAGAGGTTTGGAGTTTTAAAGTCATTTGGGGGGTGAAATAAAGCTTATTTCAGGGAAAAGAAGCTTACTTTTCCCCTTTATGTTTTTTCAGTTTTTGGCCATATCTTTTGTGGCGATACGCTATCGATACGCCCCGATAGACCCCCGATACACCTTCAATACGCCTCCGATACACCCAATATTGGTCAAGTAACCTATTAGGTCAATGGCATTGGGGACTATAGATCTACCGCAGCTTTTTTGATTCGCTACTCCATCTACATTGAGAGAAAATCAAATTGAATAGATCTGAATTTTTAAAACTAAAATTTTAAATGAAAAATCAAACCAAAACAGAAATAATCAAAATCAAATTTTTTTATTCAGATTTTTGTTATTTTGGTTAAAATTGAATTTCATTATTTTAATATATAGTATACATATTATATATATAGAGATATATTAAAAATATAATATACAATATGTATAATGAATTATGTGTTTTAATATATAATATAATACAATATAATATGTTATACATATTATGTAAATTATATATAGATAATAAAGTCTGATTAATTTGATTTTTCAATTAACTAAATTTCTAAACCTAAAAACCGAAATTGAGACTGAAATTTTATAGAACTGAAATAACCGGACCAAAATAACCAAAAACCAGCAAAAAAAAGAACTAAAAAGGTTGAACCCAAAAATTTTGGTTTGTTTTTAGGTTTTAACCAAAGAATGCTCACCCCTAACTAGAGGAGCAAATACAACTTTTTTGACCTAATGCAATTACCTAAGAACCTCAAACTAGAGCTAAATGGAAGATATCAACTGTCAATCTCTTAGTTGGAACAAAGAAAAGACAATTTCATAGGTGTCCAATGAATCAGTTGACTCCACCCCAAAAGGCCTTTATGTATTAATGAGAATAAGTTATGTTTGATTACAAAAGTCCCCTTACAAGGTTGAAAAAAGGAACAAAAATCAAAACAATAAATGTGATATGTACAATGTACAATAAGGGCTCCTAATAGGATAGATACATCAATTCCTTCATACTACCATTCAAATTGATATGTGGACATAAGTTTCAGTTTGCCTACAAGGAATAGATGTTAGGATATAGTCATAGCCTTTATAAAGATGTCACCAATCTATGCATGTTAAAGGCTACATTACGAGGAGAAATAGACCCAACAAGAAACATCTCTAATAAAATGGCAATCCACCTCAATATGCTTAATTCTTTCATAAAACACAAGATTTGATGCAATCTTGATAACACCAATATTATTAGCATAAAGAGGAGTAGGGGTAGGAATCTAAACACAAAGATCCATAAATAGTGATTGGAGATAGATTGTCTTATTGCACATAAAAGACATTGCCCTACACTCTACTCCAGTAGAAGGATTGGAGACAATCAATCATTTCATGCACTTCCAAGAGAAAAAAGAAATACTCATAAACACATACCACCCATTAGTAGAATGATGGGTGTTTAGGAAATAACCTAGCCTGCACCCGCCTCTCAATTGTATGGATGAAGAGGAAGCCTCGAGTAATTGTACGACAAACATAACAAATTACACAATGAACTACAACCATGTGAGGTTGACGAGGAGAAAAAACAAACTAACCTACAACTTGAACATCATGATAGATATCAAGCCGAGTCATAGTTAAATAAACAAAAGATCCCACAATTTGTCGATATAAAGTGGCATTAAGAAGTAAGGAGCCTTTTGATTTAGACTAATTAACATTCAACTCTAAGGGAGTATCAACATGCTTATCATTTGTAATATCGGCCAATTTGACAAGACCAATGACATTTTTGCCAATAGACAAAGTACCCTTAATCACTATGTTGAACTTCTAAATCCAAGAAGTCCTTTATGTTAAATGAATTGTGAAGAAGGTGCTTACCCTATGTGCTTTGATGATAACTAAGTCATTGAGAATACTAATGGTGTGACTAAGTATGCCGTCATCTCAAGTAAGCTTCCCTAAGCCTCAATTGCATAAAATGAATGTTGCTACCAAATATGAATATTGAAAATTCTACTTGATTAGTTGCTTGAGATTCATAGTCTCATCACCATCATCAATTATCTTTAGTGTGGATGCTCCAAGAAAAATCAAGCTTGACAAAGTTATTACAAGAACTAAATGATTTAGAGTTGCTCAAATGGCTTTTTGCTACAACAACTCATTGAGGAGGAAAACAACATAAACTTATGCTCAAATGTATTGGTCTTTTAGGATCTTGATGTAAATAATTGTTTAAAATGCAATCTTTAGCAACAATATTGAACTTAGGTAGGCAATCTTAGAGACCAATGGTTAGAATATAATTGGTTTATGCTAAGCTTTCATGGATTTAAATAAGAAATCACAATCTTAAAATTTCGGTTTGAAAGACAAAGGAAGAAATTCAAAACCATAGGATGAACATTTCCAAGATGTCTAAGTGTTGGGTTATTTGAAAGACATGTCTTGCCAAGACTCGGCTATCCTAAAAGGCATAGTCAACTAATTGGATAGTTGAGGCATAAAAATGCTTTGCTTGAGAGAGAGAGTCGACTATTAAAAAATGCATAGTCAAATAGCCTAGACAATCTAAGTTCAAAATGATATCAATCAATTGATTGAGGAAACCAACTTACTACTAGAAGAGGAAAAAAGATTCTTTCCTCTATATTATAGTTGACTAGTAAAAAATTTGACATCAACAACTTCAAAGCATTTAATGCCATTTGAAGGGCCATATTTGGAAAGCCTTCTATCATGTTAGAGCAAATTTGAATCATTTCTAAGTAATAAAAATCCCTCCAAGAGATAGAAAACAACAACTTGCTTTTAAACCCTCTATAAATAGAGGTGTTTAGTTTGATTCAAAGCAAACAAGAAGAATCAAGAGAAAAAACAACTTGTGTTGTCTCTGTATATAATGCATAGTTATTTTTTTAGAGAGAGAAAATTAGCAAGAGTCATTATTTTGAAAAGATTCTTGAACTTTAATAGTTTTAGAGGTGAGAAAAATTTGAAGGCCTTTGACCTTTTATAGTCTCATCTATTTGTAGTAGATCCCTTCACTAGGCTGAGCATTTTGAAAAAACTCTTGTAGTTGATTAATTTGAGCTTTGTATTGATATACCTACCTACTTAAAGGTCTCTTGCTATACATGCATTATCTTGTGTGGAGGTGGTTGTTTAATACTAAACACTATTAAGGTCTTGTTGACACCACAGAAAAAGCCCAAGTACAAGGTATTGCAAGCACCTATAAGCTAGTCCTGTTGTAGGCTCCTACAAGTCTTACTGATTAGATATTAAAAGCACCTACAAGTCATGCTAGCATCCATGAATCCTTAGGGCTAGCTTGAGGTAGAGGATATAAGTAGGGGTTTCTACCAAATCTCTATATTTGCTTTGTCATTCTTTATCTTGCTTCAAGTTTTTCGTAGTTTACATGCTACTAACCTTACTTACATCTCTTAATACCCGCGGTAAAACATGATGTCTGATTTTTTGCCTTTTAGCCATAATATATACTTTTCCATTAATTTTTTTTATCACTTCCTATGTTTCTTACAATTTATGTTTGTAGCTGAAATGTATACTTTTATTTAATACTTTATCATTATATATGAAATGTGTATTATTTTCTGATTTTTTAGTTGTATATATATTTTTAGATTTTGTATCATCTTTATGTCTTTTTGTTCTTTGAAATGTATAAAATTTTCATTTTTTATGTTTTTTAGTTGAAATATATTATTTTTTGACTTTTGGTGTACCATATGTTTTTTTTTTTTTTTTCATCGATGTCTATGTTGGTCAATTTTAGGTATATAGGTTGGCCCAACCCAATTTTATCTCAAAGTGGTGGTTTGTTTTCCTAAATTATGGTTGGTTTGGACATGTGGGTTT